TAAATACAGAGGGAGAGGAAGAGGATGGGGAGGAGGAGGAAGAGAGAGAGAAGAGGGAGGGAAAAAATATAATAAAATAAATATACTAAAATATTGAAAACTGGTGTATCTGGGAAGAGAACCCATAGGAGTTCTCTGCACTACTCTTGCAGCTTTTGTGTAAATCTAAATTTACAACAACTTTTTAAAAAGTGTAATAAAGTTTGTGTTTAAATAACAGATATAACCCTGGCTATATAAAACAGAAACACATAGTTATTCTATCACGGCAAGTGAAGAAAAATCCACAAAGGGACATTACAAATTTATCACTCGCCAAATGTTTCAGGATCACACTTTTGTTGCTATAAATACAAAGTCTCTACTAATGACAGGTTACAGAACTATGTAAAAACTCATAACTCATCCTAAGGGGTAAAACATCAGGTGAGATTTCTGAGCCAAGAGTAATTTGGGCAGAAAGCACACAAGTAAGCCAATAAAGCATTCCAACATTAAATCCTGACTTCCTTTGACGTCAGCCCCAGCAGACCAAGGCGAGTGATGACACAGAGGAGTCAGCACAGGAGGAAATGTGTGCCAGCTGGTGCCCAGCATCTTGGAAGTGCAAATTTAGCAGGTAACATAAAACTCCATAACTCTATCTTAAATGCTGGTATGTAAATCACAATATATCTCTTTTCTTGAGAGTCTGTATGCAGCTTCTCAGAGTGTCAAAATAAGTTACAACCAATAATGACTGTTGAATATTATTAAGCCGGCCATAGGTTAAAAAAAATTTTTTTAAACACAGATTGAAAGACAGAGTCTCTTTGCTTGCTTTTTGATGATACTTTTAATTTCAAACTCAACAGGAAACAAGATAATCACAGGTAGCTGAAAGTCAAGACAATTTCAAACCCATAAATGTATGTTACTGATGAACAAAAACCTCAATGCTGATTAAACTGTATTTTCCTACATATTCTGTAATTTCCTAATATATTCCGCATACATATATCTCTGAAGTCTGACCTAGAGAGACAGGATTGTGTAGTAGTGTGTTCAAGTATTTTTCCCCTCTGGCCATGCAAATGAAAATAGGAAAATGGTATACTATGTAAAAATTATGTATCAATTACAAAAAAAAAGATAATGACACAAAATTATTTTTTACTTACTTTTCAAAGTCTTAAATCTTACTTTTAAATGTGGAAAGCATATACTTTTTTTTTATCAGGACCAGTAACCCCACTGCAGGAATTCTCACTCAAATAAAATCTAAAACTTTGGCATGAGGTCATTAAACTATTCCTAGGGCACCCTTTTACTCTAAAAGCCTCTGTAAGCGATTAAAGTTCTAATCTGAATAATTACATTCCACCTACATAAATTCCCTCTGTAGTTTCAACTATATGCAATATCAGTCTTCATTTCCTGAATTAAATTAATGTCGTGTAATGTGGTGCTTCTTTTTTAAGAAAAGGAAGAACATCTACTTTCATAGGTAACCTTTCAGCAACCAGTAGAAGTGATTCATGTGCATGAGGTGAATAGGTCAGTATGAATAATCATTAACCACCAATTTGTGCCAGCATTTATTGTGTCGAGCATTGCAAAAGGGACAACTCATCTAATGAAATGAATGTAGCTCTACGGCTTTATAAAAACCAAATATTTTATAAACTAAATCCTATTTTCCATTGAATTGTACCAATGCATCATCAGAAACTTTATTTTCATTTGTGGCTTGCCTTTAATTAGCTGATACTTCCCATGTTTGATCACCCTTATCTTTCTAGTCAAACACTTAATGAATTGCAAATTAATATTGAAAATCCTAACCTGAAAAAAGAACCACTGAGTAGTGTTTAATAAGTAAATAAGTATTTCTCATACAGGGAATCTTAAAAACATGCTTCCCCTAAACACACACCAACAGAATTTTTGAAAGATCGAAAAACAATTTTTACAGCAAAATTGGTTACTCAAAGTGAATTTCCAGTGTTACCATAACAGTATGTATTCAATAAACCCAAAATACTAGTATTACATGTCCCTTTCATGAGATTTAATTTTTCAATCCTTGGCTATTTCTTAAATAATATATCTACCAGTTGCTGAGTGACCTTCAAGAGTGGCTTTTCCCAGAGTAAAGAAAAGCACTGTGTTCCTTGCAGGATGCTCAGGGACTTCCAGAGATCTCCACACCATGCCAACTATTTCAGTCCTTGAGTCATTAGAGAAATTTAAAGAGAAGAATTTATCCCAATTGTCAAAAATTCTGTTGAACCCCATGACATAAACATGTTTAGTTGATCAAAGCTGTATAGTAGCAAAGATGTCTTCAAATATGTTAAATTAGTTAATCTGTAAATCTCATTATTGTAATTTCTGCTCTTAAATAATTTAAAGTATGATTTACTGGTATCTAGTGAAACTGTAAATTAAATTATCTATTATACCTAGAGTTGGTCTAAATTTCATGAAATATAGACCCGATTGTAAAAACCTGTTTTCCTTTCTTCCTAGAATTCCATTCTACTTTGATTCAGAAAATAGCATTCTCTTTCCTCTAGGAAATGTCACCTATACTCCACCCCCTAATTCCCACAGAACAATGTGATTCAAAGAGATGTTGTCATTTTCTTACAGATCACTTGGCCTAGCCACAGACTTGGGGTGTATACTTGTTCAAAGCTGGACCAATCACAGTTCTCCACCCTGGTGGCCAAAGCTGATCTGTATAGTTATATAGAAAAGGGCATGTGACCCAAGCTGAATACATCACAGTCCTTCCCCAAGATTTCCAAACTGAAATTAAGGCAGTAGGAGCAATCTCTCTCAGGTGAAGAAACTGGGCATGCGAGCTGCCAGCAGCCATGTACCCTGCTATGCAAAGAAAGCTGGTCTTAGGGAACTAAGCCAAGATGCAGAGAAGAACTTAGAAAGAAGACGGAGCACTCCGACAGCATTCAGGTCCTGGCTCTAGTTGTCCCTGACAACTGCCTCACTCCTGACTTCTTGTGTGTATATAATAAGCCTTCCAACAAATTCCCTTTGTACCAAGCTATTTTCCTATTACCAGTAGTCGAGGAAACTATACACAATATACCAAACAAATTCTAACATAATAAATTTGACTTCTTAGGGGTAGGGCCCAGGAATACTGCAAGAAATTCTAATACCTCTGCAAATTCAAATATATCTAATGCAAACCTGGCTTTAGTCCATGAACTGACATTTAGAAATAACATGATTTAACACTTTCTTCACTACCTTCTTCACTGGGGATAAGTCTTGTTCTTTCATAAGACAGTCAGGGTCTTGTGAGCAAGACCTGTATCTCATATTATGCAATGAACCGCTTTAGCTCTCAACACAAGCCATCAACATAGATGTTCTGTAGGAATATATTGGGCTAAAAATATGAAGACTGGGATATTATGATTGCCACATGATCCTCTGGAATATCATTGGATCCAAAGGAAGGAGATTTTGTGTTCTGGAAAAGTTCTTCTTAGAACAGTGATAGTTGTATAGCAAGACAACAGTAACAAAATTGGGGGAAAAACATCATTCTTAACTGGATTATTTATTACCAAAAGATACATGCTTGTGAATGGATTCAAAGGGATCCTTGGGACCAAAAAGGAATGTGGATGGCTGTGAAGAAGGCAGTTTTAATCTGAAATGAAGAATCTGACTCCAAAGCTCAGCAAAGAATGTCTACATTTTCCTAAGGATTGGGTCTAAGACAAGGCTGCTAGGAATTCAAGATTAAAGAGGCACAAATATAAAATACATTCTATCTTAAATGTGTTAAAGTGTATTTAAAGCCATATGCCTGTAAATCTCCCTTTCCATGTTTACTGTACCCCTACATTAAGATATTTTTGCATTCAAAGTGAGTGACCAGTTTGCTTTGGGCTGGTGACCCACTATGGAGAGAACCTGAAAGACAAGGGTTGAGAGCAGAATCTTCTGCCCAAGAGAAGGCCCTAACTGTGCTCAAATGATGGAAGTAGAATATAAAGGCAGTCCAGCTTTAAAAATGTAGCTTTTCCCAAAGAAGCTAAAGGATTCCCTGACCTTCTGTATCTCACTGACTACCAGAACTCAGGGAGAAGTTCAACACCATAATTATAATAAATAAAGCAAACTAATTCTAACTCCCTAAAGCTGATAACTATGCCCTTAACTAGCTCTAAATAAAACAAAAAGAAAAAAAAAAAAAAAAAACTAAGTTGGTTATTCTCTGTATAATTTTGATTTTTTAAAAGGTTATATATTCATTTTAGTTATTTGTTTTATACAACTATTTAGCACAACGCATGAACTTAATACATATTGATAATACAAGAAACCAAGCCCCATAACAAAATGCAAATTCTGCCTAACTGCATAAACTTACTTAAACCACTAGGCTCTAGACATCAACTTTAGGACAACATAATTTTCTCCAAGTTATTCCAGAAGACTATTTGCATAAAACTTCTGGAAATCTCCACTCCAAAGTTCTTCCACTGTAAACTGCACTTAATCTTTTCAATTAGCAACATGCTTAAAGAACACAATACAATATCTGGAATCAATGGTCTAGACATTTCTACAAACTGAAATCACATACCTATATAACAACAGAGCAACTGATTGTGACTCAAACCTATCTTGCAACTACACTAATAATTTGGCATTAAAAGGATATTTGAATAGAGCCATATTAACAGAAAATAGTGTCATTTAGTATAATTTCTTAAGAATCTCCACTTAAAATTCTCAGAAAAATTTAAACTACAGACCCAGAGAACTGATAGTTACTTTTATTAACCTCTCCTCTGATTATAGTATGACTGTATTAGAAGACCTTAAGAACACATTCAGTAAAGTAAAATTTCATTTCAATGCCTTTTTATAACCTTTCAGTTCCCAGAACAGGAATAATAATTAGCACTCTCATTTCTAGTGCTTGAAAAACAATGAAGTATGTGCTTTAAAGAATTAAGTTATATCATTTTCACCTGCATCGATGCTCCTTCTACTCTTGCCACACAGGCAACCCGATCCAAGAAAGTCACTGCCACAGGCACCGCCACAAAGAAGCCTTTACAAAAGGCCTTGATGTATCTTTTCACCCACCCTTGCGACTGTGCCATACCTAAAAATACAAAGAAAACAACTATGAAATTAGTCTCAAGATAGGTGAAAAACAAAAACATAAAAACAGTACATGAAAAGTAAGAGTTACCAAAGGGCAATCTTGTCTCTTAATATATTTCACACTCATTCCTGTACCCATTAGAATAAATCTGACTTAGTTAAAGTCCTAAAGCAAAATACATGAACTCAGGTTAACGCTTTTCCACGACTCAAGTCCACTTGCTAACTTCAGTAGGAAATTTCTCCACACAAAACAGTAAGTTAGAAAAAAATAAGCATTCCAGAAGTAAATTCTTTTCTGTTGCTGACTACTATGATGCAGTTACTCCTTATACCCCTGATATCTGTTCTCTTCTACAGCAATAAAAGTTTCAGTGGAACACGTGGCTGCCCAACTGTTTCCAGCCTCCCTTGCAGCTAAGTGTGACCATGTCACTAGATTTGATCAACAGCATGAGTAGAAAGGATATACTTCTAGGTTGTACCCTGAAAAGAAGGTTGCCCTCCCTTTTCTTCCCCATTTTATAACTGTAACAATTTGGTGGTTGGAGTAGGGGTGGCCATCTCAAACTATGAGATAAAAGCTTCAAGTAAAGATGACAAAGCAACAAAATGGAAGGATCCTAGGTCCGCAACACTATGGAGGCACCATACTGTCCTGCATTGCTTACATTTGGACTGTCAAATCAGAGATAAATCACTTGCACTGTTTGTGGTGGCAGTGTTGGTATTGTTGTTGTTGTTTTTAGACAGGGTCTCACTCTGTCACACAAGCTGGAGTCTTGGCAAGACTTTTTTGGATAAGACTTCAAAAGCACAGGCAACCAAAGCAAAACAGACAATGGGGATTACATCAAGCTAAAAAGTTTCTGTGCAGCAAACATCAACATAATAAAGAGACAACCTACAGAATGGAAGAAAATATATGCAAACTATACTTCTGACAAGAGGCTAATATCCAAAAACGCATAAGGAACTCGAACAACTCAATAGCAAAAAGACAACTCAATTAAAAAATGGTCAAAAGAGCTTAACAATAATTTCTCAAAAGAAGACATACAAATAGCCAACAGGTATATGAAAAGAATGTGCAGTCATGAGGGAAATGCAAATCAAAACCATATGGATATCATTCCACCCCAGTTAGAATGGCCATTATCAAAAGACAACAGGTGCTGGCAAAGGTAGAGAAAAAGGAACCCTTATATACTCTTTATGGGAATGTAAATTAATATGGCCATTATAGAAAAGAGTATGGAGGTTCCTCAAAAAGTTAAAAATAGAACTACCACATGATTCTGTCATCCTATTCTTAGGAATATATCCAAAGGAACTGAAATCAATATATAGAAGAGATATTTGCACTCTCATGTTTATCACAGCACTATTCATAATAGCCAAGGTATGGAATTAATCTAAGTGTCCATCAATGGATGAATGAACTTTAAGATGTGAGATAACTTCAAGATGTTTTGCCATAAAAAAGAATGAAATCCTGCCATCTGATACAACATGGAAAAACCTGGAGGACATTAAGTTAAGTAAAATAATCCAGGCACACAAAGACAATATTGCACGATCACTCATATATAGAATCTAAAAAAGTTAAACTCAAAGTAGAAAGTAGAATGGTAGTTACCAGAAGGTGGGGTAGTTAGTGGGGAGGAGAGATGTTGCTCAAAGGAGATATAATTACATTTAGGAGGAATACATTTCAGGACACCTGTTGTATAGTAAGGTGAGTACAGTTAATGATAAGAGATTGTATTCCTGAAAAATGTAAACAGAGTGGATGTTACATGCTCTTACCACAAAAATGATAAATATGTTAGATAATGCATTTATTAATTAGCTAGATTTAATCATTCCACAATGTACATGTACTTCACATTGTGTTGTATACAATAAAACTCACAATGTTATCTGTTTACTCAGAAAATAAATAAAAATAAAAATACTCAACCACTAATTCCCTCCCAAATCTTTAATATATCACAGGAAAAAGATGAATGATAATCTAAATTGGCTAATTCTGAATTACCTACTGTAACTGACATCAATAAGGGCTATATGTATGCAAGGTAAGTAATTAAGACCAGTATTCTTGTTTTTTATACTTTTATCAACATATATTGCACATAACATAACATTCACCCAAACCAGTAATCTTTTTATACCTAATCAGAATAAATGTAACTCAGACTAACTTTAGAATATAAGCAATTTAAAAACATGTTTTCATTCAAACTCATCTAACAACTATAATCTTAAGTTAAATTGCTTATGATTTCACACATCTGGTACTCAAGAAATGTGTTTGGCCCAAGGTACTGACTGTTTCTGCGAGCTGTCTTAACCACTACACTCCTAAAAGAGTAAACCTGCTTGACAGGTTTCATTCATTCATACCCAGCTTTAATGTGAGCCCTTGAGTAAAACTAATTTCTCTTCAATGACATCTTTTGCCTAGAATCAAAACACCTTTACTAGCTCCTTTTACATATCTCTACAAAAGATTTAATATACTTTTCCAATGGACTATTTTACAAAGATCCCATTTATCATGTACTATCTGCCTTAATATAGAAGAATAACTTTGACATATTTATCAAATTAGTACCTTCAAGATGCAAAAGATGCATTTTCCTCAACATTAGATTTCATTAGCTCAGTCTCTCTGAAAACACTTCTAACCACAGGTTTAACAACACAAACATCAGTCTTACAATAAATGTATAAATGGAATGACCTCCACATCTATTCTTTTTAATGTTTCCAAAATATAAATAAATATATCCAAAGATTTCAGATTATAAAATATCTGACTCCACAAGTAATTTATAACATGCTCCCATGTACATAGGGGAAAAAAAAATAGTTACTATGTAGAAGAGAAAGGAAATGGCTCAACAGTAAGTAATCAATTCCTCTTTGACCAGTTTGACAGCTTCAAAGTTATTTTAGGTGGTCTACACTTATGTTTAAGTCACATACAACTCCCAGATAATAATTCCAGGGTAGTGTTTCCCAAGCTTGCATTGATTGACATGCTTAAAAATGAAGATCCCCACTCTCACTCGGACCACCTAAATAAAACACTTCAAGTGATTCCCTTAATAGAGTCAGTCTGGAAAATACTGATATTTGGGTGTTCAAAGGTCAAATGTTTACTCACTCCTCAAGTTTATTACCTTCTGAAAATGAGAAAAGGGGAAAAGTTAGCAAAGAAATATCATCCTGAATGTCTCCTTACATTTAGTTTACCTCCGTACTACATTAAGTATCTGCAGAACAAACATTGTACAGAAAATGAACACCACTACCAGATTCTACATTCTAACCTCCACCTGGTTCCATCAGAAAATGACTTCCAGTGGATTGTCTCTTCGTCCCTGCTAAGGCAGTTCAATCATCCATCCACTCATCTACGCACTCACTTACTACTTGGCTTATTTATTCTTTCAACCAGTGTTTACTAAGGGTCTTCCACAAGCACTGTGTTAGGCACCAGGGAACCATAAAACAGTGAGCAAGGCCAGTCCCAGTCCCCGATCTCATCGAGTTTTTACAACCAACTATGGAATGATAAGGGTCAATCTGAAAATCACATAAACATACATAAGAGTTGTAATAAGTGCTATGAGAGAGATACAGAGAGGTCAGGAAAGGTCTTTGAGGAAGAGGTTGAACTCAAAAATGAGGAGGAGTTGTCTAGATAAAGAACTGTGGGGTAGGCAAGGGTATTCCAGAGAGCAGCCATGTCACATGCAAAGTCCCTGTGACAGGAGTGGTCATGTTGTGATGGACAACTGAAGGGAGGCTGGTGTAGATAAAGCACACAGGAAGTGGAAGAGTACAGTGGGACATAAATGGGAGGAGGCAATGTAAATGCCAGAGCAGTTAAGACCTCGCAGGCCCTGTAAGGATTTGCAGCAAATGCGAAGTAACTGAAATGTTCTAAAATGGAGGTGAATGATCCTATCTGCATTTTGAAATAATCATCTATCTGAAAGTCTGGATAGGACAAAAATGGATATAGGGAAACCAGATTATTCTAGTGGTCCAGGGCAAGAGATGATAGTTGGAGTAGGATGATAGTGGAGACGGACTAAAATGGGCAGATTTAAGTATGTATTTTGGAAGTTGAACTGACAGGATCTGGAATTAGATGGGCAATGATGGGAGAAGGAAGGAGATAAAGTGTCAAGGGGCTGTGGTAGCCTGTCAAAGCACTGTTATTTTGTCATTCTCTTGAATTACATGTCAAAATATTTCATACTAAAATTATGCTCATAATTCCATTCCTCAAACTTTTTTTTGGCAAACAAGCAGATGTGCTCCCTGCCCTCAAGGAGTTACAATATACCAAGGAAGACTGCCTTCAACAATTATTTCCAATGGATGAGCAATAAAAAGGGACGATAGCCCTGAAGCACGACAGCATGAAGCAAGGCTGTCTTATTCATCAGAAAATGATCAAGGAAGGCCTGCCCCACTACACCCCCACCCCCGAAAAAATGGCATTTGAGGGAAGACCTGGGCATTTCAGGTAAAAGCAGTAACATATATGAAGGCCTAGGGGCAAAATAAAATGTAGCTGTTTAAGAAACTAAAATAAGTTCAGTTTGGATAGAGTATATACAAAATTTATTTACTATCAAGCAACAATGCTAAGTACAGAGGATATAAAGATGGCTAAGCATATAGTACAGTACCATTCAAAAACTTTCAATAAACAATACATTTCTACATACATTTATATGTGCACATAAAAGTATTTTAAATTGAATATTTATATTGTTTTAATTGTTTAATAACCACCCATATGTTACTTGTGTAGTTATTAAAGTATACCAAAAGAGGGAAGAAAGCAGCATCAAAATGCTAACAGTGGTTAATTCTGGAGGCTGGGAATAGAGACAATTACTATTTTCTTCTTTGAACTTTAGCTGGTTTCTAAAAAAGAAAGATGGTATCTGCCCTAGGAAGTCACTTTGA